AATGTGTTTACCCTACATCTGCCCACTTCTCTCCACAGTCCACAAAGGCAGAAAAGGAAGACCTCCCCACTTCCAAGTCATCTTCTTCCCTCCTGGCAGGCACGAAGCTCCGAACCTACAGAAGGAACAGTGAGTGTTTGTCTGCAGACAGTACTGATGTGGAAGCTGATGGCAACCTGGTCCCTTCTATACTATCCCCAAAATACTGTCCTTGACAGCATAAACAATAGCATCCGTGTGTGCTAAAGTAGAAAGGTTAGACTTCAGTCAGTACCTGGGTAAGAAGACCTAGAAAAACAAGTGATTACAGCAGTGCTATCTGGAGATTTACTTTTATATTTTCATCTATGTGTATACGTGTATGTGTGCCATGTGTTTATGTGTGCCGTGTGTATGTACCATGTGTGTATGTGTGCTGTGTGTATGTGTGCCATGTATGTATTACCATGTATGTATGTATGCCATGTGTGTATTGTGCTGTGTGTATGTGTGCCATGTGTTCATGTGTACCATGTGTATGTACCATGTGTGTATGTGTGCCATGTGTGTATGTATGCCATGTGTATATGTATGCCATGTGTGTATGTGTACCATGTGTGTATGTATGCCATGTGTGTATGTGTGCCATGTGTTTATTATGTGTGCCAAGTGTGTATGTGTGCCATGTGTTTGTGTGCCATGTGTATGTACCATGTGTGTATGTGTGCAATGTGTGTGTGCCATGTGTACACAGACACCTGCAGAGAGCAGAAGAGGGAATCAGATCCCCTGCAGCTGGAATCACAAGTGATTGTGAGCCACTGACACTGGGGATCAAAGCCAGGTCCTCTGGAAGAGCAGGAAGTGCCCTTACTTAGCCTCTGAACTATTTCTCCAGACCCTAAAGTGAAATTTCACATTCTGCATTTAACCAAAACAAACTGAAAGTAAACACAATTCATTCTTCCATCCATCTTTTGTATCAGCAGCAAGCTAAAACTGTGTGCCACAGCAGAGGAAAAAAAAACAGTATGAATGATTTCAACTCGCAGCTGCAGTGATTCACAATTTCATCTGTTTCTTTCCCGTTGCTAGGCAATCACTCTACCGCAGAGCTATAACCTCAGCCTCTTCGTTGTCTTTTCCACTCACTACATGAAAGCCATACACACTGGTACATGCCTATAATCCCAGCACTTGGAAGATAGACACAAGATCAGGAGTCCAAGGTCATCCTCAGCTACATTGCTAATAGCAAGACATCCTGAGCTATAAGAAATCCTGTCTAAAAATAAAAACAAATGAACAAATAAATAGGTAAATATATACTAATCAAAGCACTAATTAAATGCAAAAAAAGCAAACAGAAAGCAAACAGGACCTTTTAACAATCATTTCTGAACATTAATGAAGTAATTATAAAATTGTTCCTTTGTTCTATTTTTATCCACTCCCCCTTAATGTTACAAAGTCCATGTTTTATTATGTAATTGTGTAATAAGTCAAATAAAAGACAGCAAGGTTTACCAGGCGTGATAGCATGCCTTTAATCCCAGCACTAGGGAGGCAGAGGCAGTCCAATCAATGTGAGTTTGAGGCCAGCCTGGTCCTCATAGTGATTTCCAGGGCAGCCAGGGCTATAGAGAGAGGCACTGTTTCAAAAAAACAAGAAAAAAAAAAGATTTTGCAAAATAATTCTACCAGACACTCATGTTACAAAATAAGAGTTTATGTATTCTCTGCATTAGGGCTATGGAAACTTAACAACATATCTTCTTCTTAAGAGTTTTTACAAGTGATGGTGGGTGGATAAATAAATAAATAAATAAATAAATAAATGGCTTCCCGTACAAAGAGAGGAACACAGAAATTTATCCTACAGCGGCGGGCATTTGGTAGTGATGGCAAACCTCATTATGGATGTACCAGCATTCCACTAACTAGATTTTCAGGCTGCGATGATTCTTTAGGCAACCACAGAAATGAGCGTGTTCCCCGAAAAGCCTGCTATAACACAAATGAATTATAGTATACATATCACCTGGCAACCCAAAGTAAGCACACATCAATTGTTTTTATAAAGAATTGATGAGCAAGTATCTACTAACCAGCAAGAAGGACACATCATTTGTTTATAACACTGAATACAGGCTGCCTATCTTTTTGTTTGTTTGGTTTTGTTTTGTTTTTGTTGTTGTTATTTGAGACAGGGTTTTTCTGTAGTTTTGGAGCCTGTCCTGGAACTCTGAAACTAGCTCTTGTAGACCAGGCTGGTCTGCCTCCTATCTTTTACCCAAGATCAATATACTTTCTCAACTTTTCTGTTAGCTAAGGCACAAGCAGTGGCCTACACAGCAGGCTTTCTTTGGGTCCACAAACCAGTTCCCAAATCATGACATGGAGACTTACTATTAGTTATGAATGTTAGGCCTTATCTTATGCTTGTTTCACTAACTCTTATAACTTACTTTAACCTATTTCTCTTCATCTACGTTTTGACTCAGAGTTTTTGACCTTTCTTTCACACTGTATATTCTACTCTGTGTAAGGTTGGCTGGTGGCTGCCACAGGCATATCTCTCTCTCTCCTCCCTCATTCTCTTCTCTCTTCCCTCCTCCTACTTACTCCCTCTGCCCACTAGTCCCACACAGCTACTGGCCATTCAGCTTTTTATTAGACCAGTCAAGTGCCTTAGGCCGGCCAAGCAACACATCTTTACATCTTTAACAAATGCAGCATAAATAAATGTAACACATCTTTGTCTAGATAAAGTAATATTCCATAGCAGGCCGGAGCTCAGCTAATCCAACAAAGACAGCAAATCGCTAACAATAATTATTTTCCCAAAAAGCAGCAGCAGGGTCCCTTGTCCGCGGTACTAGTGAAGTGTGCTGCACAATCCACTGACTGACCTGCACCAGAAGCGGTACTGCCCAGACTCTGGCCCAATCATGGCTGTGCAGTTCTGACTTGGTTTCTGCCAACCTTCAGGTCCCCCATAGCATTTCAAGAAATTCTTTTGGTCATTAAATCACCATGGTTCTCAAAAAAAAAAAAAAAAAGGCAAAATGATGAAGTTTGGTAAACCAAGAGGCACTGTTACCCATAAAAGGCTCACGACTTTATTCTGGAAAATGGGCAGTTCCTTGTAGTTTACGACTCAAGACCAGCTCTGAGAACAATGATATGCGTGTACAAAGATGTCATAGTAAAATCCAATACTGCATACAATTGAAAAATATCAATAAACTTCAAATTTTAAAAGAACATCTCATGGGCTGAAGGGATCTCAGAGGCTAGAAGCACTGGCCACTCTACCAGAGGACCCAGGTTCAATTCCCAGCACCCACACGGCAGCTCACAACTGTCTGTAACTCCAGTTTCAGGGGGTCCAACACTCTCACATAAACATACAAGCAAGCAAAATATGAATTCACATAAAAAAATTTTAAAAAATATCTCAGGTTGAAAAGATGGCTCAGCAATTAAGAGCACTGACTGCTCTTCCAGAGGACCCAGGGTCAATTCCCAACACCCACACGGAAGGTCATAACTGTCTGTAACTCCAGTTCCAGGAGATATGACACCCTCACACAGATATACTGTACAGATGTGCAGGCAAACAGCAATGCACATAAAATAAAAATAAATAAGTCACTACATTTTTTAAATGCCATCTCTAGTAATTCCACTACTAATTTGTCACCGTTTATGATCCAATTATTCTGTTCCACCCACTGAAGCACAGCAGTCAGTGTCTCCGAGGAGGCCTCCACTGTCTTCACCACTTGTTACGGGACTGAGGCAGCAAGCCCTCTGCTGCAGAGTGCAGTGCACCCACATTCTGAATACACTCCAAAGTGTGTAGCAGAATGAAGAGTCCCGCTTTCTCAAGTCTGTGAGAAGAGGCGCATGCGTCTGAGGCCAAGTTTGAAAGGAATGAATTAAGTACACGGCCTTCAAGCTGCCCTCCTCAACAAATCGTGTCTGTGCATGCGCCTGTGTGTGTCATTGCTATCATTACTCCAGAAAATAACAAATAAGATTATTATTACCTGCTAATTTTAAAACGCAAACCAAAGTCCTCAAATGTAAACCAAACAAGAATATTGTAGAAGCCGGCAGTGATGGCCGTTGGCTTTAGGAGGCTGAGGCAGGTAGCCAGCCTGGCCTACAGAGTGAGTTCAAGGACAGCCAGGTCTACACAGAGAAACGGTGGGGGAGCGGGGAGAGCCGTATTGTGGAATGAATGGTGAGGCTAGACTTCCCCACCTCTACCTACTCCAACCACAGACTGATGGGCCTGAAGGAGTAGTGGTCACATAGAAAGTCAACCTACCTATCTGAGTCCTTACCCCCAGTGCAAAGAGGGAAGCCGGCTTGTGCTGACAAACTACAAAGCCTATGGACACACATGTATGTTATACAATTCTATAAACAGTAAATCACCTTACATTGACACTATGCTTCCAGACTTGCAAAACACTGTCACATAAACTGTTGCATCTACACATAGGTGGTGCATTACGTTTGTCCTTGTAGCCACTACACGGCGAAGCACACAGCAAACCCTCCGTAACTTACGCTAAGAGGATATGTATTCTGCTCTTTTGTTACACACTGTAATTCTCATTTGACCGGCTCTTTAAGGATGTCTCATTCATCCTCCTATGTCTCAGCCACACAAAACTAGGACCATCAAAGTGCACCCTAAACAGCAGGCTTCTCCCTCCTCCCGCAAGACTGATCAGGTGAGGCCTCAATTCTGAACCTGACGTACACACCCCTGCTCGTTCCTTCCCGCTCCCACCCACCCCTGCCACTTCTGATTTCCACAACCGATGAAGCTCATTGCACAAAGTATAGATGTTTTATTCCCCAGCAAAATTATCTACTGCCCAACGCTTCTCCTCCATCTGCACCACTGGCTCCCCGCAAATCCTGCAGCAGCCTGCGGTGCTGTACGTATCCCACAGAGACGACCCCGAGAGGTCCAGACCCACACACCCCTCCGTACGTACCCCAGGAGACAGCGATCGCAGACGACGCCACGACTCCCCTTGCACACAGTGTACGCCAAGGGATCGGAGCGGAAGAGCAGCTCCCCGGGGCGCAGTGGGGCCACTGCACGCAGCCCATTTCCCCGGTCGGCGGTCGTGAACTTTTCCACCTTCAGTGACTCCATCCTTCCACAGATCCGCACCTCAGACCCGCACCGAGTCCCTCAGCTAAGAATCTCGTGTTTTCTGACTGCGCGCCTGCGTCCTGCGCTTGCGTACACTAGGGGGCGGGGACGAACGCGGGTAGTTCATGTGAGCATGCGCAGAAGGGCCTACAACAACCTGCCCTGGATGATGTCTTCCTGTATATTATTGTACGATTCTTCTTTTTCTTTTCTTTTTCCTTTTCTCTTCTTTTTTTTTTTTTTTTGAGACAGAGCCTCAATGTGTGTAGCATATGCAGATCTGGAACTCCCTATTTAGACCGAGGAACCTCTCTATTTAGACCTAGAACTTACAAGGATCTGCCCGCCTCAGCCTCCGCAGTTCTGGAATTCCAGGTGCACTCCACCACACCCTGCTTCTTGTGCTCATTTTAATGCATAGGGAAAAGTTGATAGGACAGTGGCCATCACCTGCTATTCACCACCTAGAAGAACAGTTCTCAGCGTTTGCTGTTTCCAATCACGCCATCTGTTTGTGTATGTGCTCATATTAATAAACCATTTCAGAGTAATCTTTGTTGAACCAATTGAAAATATGTTGCAATCAGGTCTTGAATTAGGAGATCCTTCATCTCCACCTCTTCAGCACTGGGATTATGGGTATAAAACTACCCAGTAATAGTGAGAACACAAGGCGTGCCTAGAAATGTCAGCATGTTCGACTGGGTCTGAGGCATGAATTTAGCTGTTAACGATACCACACCGTAGATTTTGTTTTTGTTTTTAGAAACAGTGTTTCTCTGCAGCTTTGGAGCCTGTCCTGGACCAGGCTGGCCTTGAACTCACAGATACACCTGCCTCTGTCTCTGTCTCTGCCTCTGCCTCTGCTGGGATTAAAGGCCTGCTCCACTACCGCCGGGCTTTTTTTTTTTAAGTAATGTGAGCTCTATAAATTTTTTATTAATTAGGTCACACTCTCCCCAGAGGAAATCCAAGGAAGAAAAGCAGTCAGGTGGCCCTGGGGACTCAGCAAAGTAGCCTAAGGCAGTGTCACAGGTAGGCTGGTCCTTGGACAGTTCCACCTCTTCTTTGTAGGAGCAGATAACACTGCCTTCTTCTGAGTGGCTGCCACAGCTGAACTCACCAATGAATTTTTTTAAAGACAGGCTCACTCTATTAAATTGCCAGGGTTGTCCTGGAACTACCCAAGTAGACCAGGCTGGCCTTGAACCCACAGAGAGCCACCTGCCACTGCCTGAGGGTTGAAACTACAGGTGTGACAATCTTTTTTTTTTGTTTTTTTTTGTTTTTTTTTGGTGCCGTGACTCGGATGCGAACCATAGGTGTGACAATCTTGCCTACCCACCAAGGGATCTTGTACACAGTTCTCCAGGCCTCCTGGCAATCCTGCAAACCCACAACCTGAAGACTAGCCTCAGTAACAGAGAAATCCTGTTCGAATTTTTTTCTTTTGGTGATTTCTTACTTTACACCGAATACTCTGTTAGTTTGTTTCTGACCACATCTCACTGTGTCATCCTGGCGGACCTGGAACTCTCTGTGTGTAGCAGGCTGACTTGAGTCACAGACATCTGTCTCCCCCAGCCCCTGCCTTATCCAAGGCATGTGCCAGAAATACTCACTTTTTTAGAAAGTAAGTTTTATTATCGAGTTAGTGTGTGTCTGTGATGGGTGTCCATAAGTGTGAGTGGGTGCATGCCAAGGTGTGTGTGTAGAAGTTAGAAGACAATGCTTTAGAGAGGTCTCTCCTTCCATGTTTACGCCCTGAACCATGTCCCCAGCCCTTCGCTTTCCCACTTACACATGTACCCACTGTTTTGTGATCTGCTTTGTGATCTGGATTGCTTCGTTTTGTTTTGCTTCGGCTGGGACTAGAACCCAGGACTTCATGTGTCCTAAGCACATTTGTTATAAGGACAGTCTCACTGTACCAAAGAAACAAAAGCAAGGACTCAAGTGGATCCTTCTCCATCAGAGTTCACAGCACAGCACTCTCAGTCTCCGGAGCAAAGAATAGAAGCAAACCAAATGTCCATTAACAGGGGCATGGAGAGAGAAAATGTGGATGTGAACATGCAGGAATATTGTTCTGCCTTTAAAAGGAATTAAACTGTGAGCTGGCAAGGTAACTCAGCAGGAAAGGTACTTACAACCCATTCTGGCTGCCTTCCTTCCATCCCCGAGACCCACAGAGTAGAAAGAGAGAACCAACTTGCACAAACTGGTCCTGTGGCCACCATACACAGTCTCTCGCACAAAAATAAATGTAACAAAAATGTAAGTGGTAAGATCCTAACATATGTGACATTAAAGAGAAACCCTGAAAACAGGATGCAAGGTAAAATACATGAGCTGCAAAGGACAAGTATTAGGAATCAGAACAAACAAATGCAGAGACCTAGTGCAGTAAACAATAGCATTCAGGGTGGGAGCTGGGATGGAGGGAGGGAGGGAGGGAGGGATGGAGGGTCATCAAATCAGCAAGTGCAGGTGGATTTCCATTCAAAACAATGAAAAAGTTAGGGGAACACAGTGGGACTGGATGTACAATGAACTGTTCGTACTTAATTGTTGGGGACACAAAGGTCCTTGTACCCACAGATCACTAGGAAAACCAGGAATGTTGAGCACAGAAGGGCTTCTTCTCAATAGAGGAGATGAAATACCCGTTTTCCCTGCCCAGAAGACTGCGAGTGGATTCCTGTTTATTTGTTTACTTTTTGTTTTTTCTACACAGGGTTTCTCTGTGTAGCCTTGGTTATCCTGGACCTTGCTCTATAGACCAGGCTGGCCTCAGACTCAGAGATCTGCCTGCCTCTGCCTCCCTAGTGCTGGGACTAAAGGCATGCAACACCACACCCAGAAATAGAGTTTTTAAAGTTAACTTTTTATGTATATTTTGTCTTCTTTATTATTTTGCGTACATATGCAAGCTACGTCTGCATGAGTTCAGGTCAGAGGACAACTTTTAGGAATCAGTTGTTTCCTTCCTCTGTGGCATCCGGGCACCAGTTGCAGGCTTTGGTTTTGTAAGGCAAGCCCCTTTAAAAGAGGAGTCATCTGATGGCCCCAAAATATGAGATAGTTGAGCTCTGGGAAGATGGCCCAGGTAATAAAGTACCTGCAAGGCAAGCCTGAGGCCTTGAGTTCAGATCCTCCATACCCAGACAAAAAGAACCAGGCAGTTACTCAGGCTTGTAATCCCAGTTTTGGGGAGGCAGAGGAGAATTCCCACCCCACCCCCAAGAAGGTGGGAAGTGATTGAGGAAGATATCTACATTGACCTCTAACCTATATACAAACACAAACACACTCAAACACACATGAGCCTGTGTGCCCAAGTGTACACACCCACATGAACATGTCCATACACAACACAGAAAATAATCACAAAATTTAATGCCTTCTTGCTCCCTTTCCATCATTCTCATTCAGTTGCTCTTAATGATCTGATGAAAATCATTGGCTCATGGAATAAGCCTAAGTTCCCCATAAACCCTAATTGTAAGTTTAATACACTATATTATTAGCAAGAGGTAAATTAAATAGTAGCTATAAATGTTTATAGAATCAGCCAGTGATCAGAGTAATAAACTGAGTGAACAATTAACCAAGAATTACCAAATTATTTCAAAACTTTTTGATATACTTTCTCAAATTTTTCAATAATGTAATGTATATTTACCATAAATGAAACACAAAGTTCTTCATTTTTCTAATAATCTTAAGGTCCAGTTTTATACCTTGAAGGTCATCAGTCATAGATGTCACTTCAACAGCATGCTCATTTCAGTAATTATTCTTTTTTTTTTTACTCACTATTTTAAAAAAATCTCCAGATTCAACACAATGCACATCAAAATCCCAGCAAAATTTTTCTTTTTTTGGTTTTTTCGAGACAGGGTTTCTCTGTGGCTTTGGAGCCTGTCCTGGAACTAGCTCTGTAGACCAGGATGGTCTCGAACTCACAAAGATCCTCCTGCCTCTGTCTCCCAAGTGCTGGGATTAAAGGCGTGCACCACCACCGCCCGGGAAAAATAAAATCTTAAAGAGTTGTTTTATCCCTTGCTTTTTCAGACCTAGGCCAGCTGGCCTTGGTGAGTTCCCGATAGAACATCCCCATTGTCTCAGTGTGTGGGTGCACCCCTTGTGGTCCTGAGTTCCTTGCTCGTGCTCCGTCTCCTTCTGCTCCTGATTTGGACCTTGAGATTTCTGTCCGGTGCTCCCATGTGGGTCTCTGTCTCTGTCTCCTTTCATCGCCTGATGAAGATTAATATTCATGAGGATGCCTATGTGTTTGTCTTTGGATTCACCTTCTTATTTAGCTTCTCTAGGAACATGGACTAGCTGAACATAGCGGACAATGAGGAATACTGAGAACTCAAGAACAATCGCAGTGGGTTTTTGATCCTACTGCACGTACTGGCTTTGTAGGAGCCTAGGCAGTTTGGATGCTCACCTTACGATACCTGGATAGAGGTGGGCAGTCCTTGGGCTTCCCACAGGTCAGGGAACCCTGATTGCTCTTTGAGCAGATGAGGGAGGGGGACTTGATTGGGGGAGGGGGAGGGAAATGGGAAGCGGTTGCGGGGAGGAGGCAGAAATCCTTAATAAATAAATAAATTAAAAAAGAGTTGTTTATGTGGTGGTTTAAATAACAATGGCCCCCATAGACTCACATAATTGAATGGTTAGTCTTCATGGAATAGTATTACTTGAGAAGGATTAAGAGGTGTGGCCAGAGTGGAAGATGTGTGTCAGTGGATGCAGGCTTTGAAGTTTCAGAAGCCCAAGCCAGGCCCATTGCCTTTCTGCTGCCTGTGGTTCTGGATGTAGAACTCTCAGCTACCTCTCCAGTACCTTCTCTGCCTGCATGCTGCCATGCTCCCTACCATGACGAGAATGCACTAAACCTCGAAACTGTAAGCAAGCCTCATGGAAATGCTTTCTTTTACGAGAGCTGTCATGGTCATGGTGTCTCTTCACAGCAACAGAACATTGACTAAGACATGGTAAAATATGGTTCCCAAAGCTTAGCTTCATGGTGATTAAGAATTGATAGTTGCT